TTTCAATTACTTATATATATATATAATATAATTTATATTAATATAATATATATATAAACTTGTATAACCAATTATTATTATTATTATTATTAAAAAATTATTATAAATTATTATTATTATATATAGTATTATATTTATAGAAAAATAAGTGAGAAATAAATATTATATATATATAAATAAGTTGTCTTTTATAGAAACTATTATTATTATTATTATTATTATAAATTGTATATTTAAAAAAAATTAGATTATTATAATTATTATTTATATTAAAAAAAAATAAATTGTTATATTATAAACTTCAATATATATATACTGTATTTAAATATTTCAAATTATTTCAAACGAATTATTATTATTATTATTATAGATTAATTAGTTAATAATAATTATATATATATAGACATAATATGAATGGACTAAAAAATTGATGAATTATTTTAATTTTGTATGACTATTATTATTATTATTATTATTATTATTAAAAAATGTTGTGTAAATAAAAATTTAAAGGATATAAAATCAAAAAATTGTTTGAAAAAATTAAATTAAATCTTAATTGTGATTCTAGTTTATTTATTTTTATAATTATTTTTTATATTTTTTATAAATTTTTTGTGAGTATTAATCATAAATATATATTATATATTATGTATACAGTATGTATATTATATATATATATATATATATTATGCAATAAAAGAGATAAAATTAATGTTGTTTTCAAAATGCTATACAACTGAGCATTTTGTTAATAATTCATATAAAATATTATAATATTATTACAACAACAACAACAATATAAAAAATATAATATATATACTAAACAAGCAAAAAAAATTTAATATAAAAATTATGTTTGCATCCATTGTTAAAGTAAAAAAATAATTAATTATTTAATTATTTAATTAATACAAACAACGTAAATAATATATGTCTTATTTCAAAAATCAATTATAACTTTTTTTTTTATTTATATATATATATAGGATATATATATACAGAATATTCTATGGCTATTAACAATAAAAGTAATATATTATATTATTGTGTTTAGGTTAGCAAATCATAGTATTAAATATATATATATATATATTGATATATATATATATTTAATAGTATATTGACTTGAAATTAATGAACAAATATTTCTAAGTGGTAAGCAATATATATATATATATATATATATATATATATATATATATATTGATTAATAATATTAATCTCATTTTGTGGTCAATTTTTTTTTATATTTTGTTTGTTAGTTATTTTTGGGGTATCATTTATTTCAGCAAATTAACTTTTATTGAACGATTAATTCAATGGTTATATAATAGTATATTATTTCTAGTATAATACTTTTTTGTTGTTATATTAGCTATATATAGCATATAAAAACGTATATATATATAATAACTTATATATGATTTTTTTTAAGTATAATATATATTTTTATAATTTATTGACCTAATATATGACTTGTTTACTGAAAATATTATATACTGTATTATTAATATATATATATTTATACAGTATTACTCATAACTTATTTATTAAATACTATAATAAAAATTTTATTTATTTAGGTTTGACTGATTAGATGTTCAGTTTGTTAAATATATATATTTTTTTTGTTAGTATAATAATATTAATATCATTAATATTTTATTTTTTGTTATTATTATTATTATTATTAATATTATACAGTAATTATACAGTGTATAGTATTGATTTCCTCAATTATAATAGTATAACTAAATAAATAAATACATTTTTAATATTTACTGTACAATAGTATTGTTTGTAAATTAAATTGCACAAAAAAAATATATATATATTTAGATTTCTATCACTAATACAGTATTATATTATATATATATATATATATATATATAAATTAGTCTTACATTTAAATATACAATAAATTTATATACTGTCTATAATAATAATAATTAATGTAATCTCTCAGTGCAGTCAATGATTTAATTTTTGATGATTAAAAATTTTGTTTTCGTGCGCTGGCATTCATTATTAAACTTATTATATATATATATATATATATATAGTATATACAGTAATATATTGTATTATTATAAATAATAAATGAAAAAAAGAAAGAGAGAAAGAAAGAAAGAAAGAGAGAGAGAAAGAGAGAGAGAGAAAGAGAGAGAGAGAAAGAGAGAGAGAGAGAGAGAGAGAGGGAGGGAGAGTATTGATTGTGTGGATCTAAGCGTAGCTAAAAATTATTTAGATGTTTGCAATGATGTCATACAATCACAGAAAGAGAGAGAGAGAGAGAGAGAAAGAGAGAGAGAGAGAGAGAGACTAAAAATCAGTATTAACTGGGAATTAGGACTTTATATTAGGACTATATATATATATATTTGTGCGACAAATAAATTATTATATTTTCAAAAATCTCGTTATATATATATAATATTATATATATATACTGTGTATATATACTTAAATATATATATATATATACGTGTGAAATGACGCGCTATTGAATGACCTCAATATTGGACACTCAATATAATTTATATAGTATTTTATATACAATATATATATATATTGTATATATAAAGTATAGACCAATAAACTAAATGTCAAATCAAACTAATAAATAAATAAAACATATAACATATATATATATATAGATATAAAATTTATTATATAAAAGCAAACAAACTTTTATATATATAATACTTGTCTCTCATTTATTAAATGCAACTAAATATAAAAAAATATAAAAACAATTTTTCAGCAATTTTTACTATAATATATATTTTTTTGATCACTAATACTACTACTATTAGACTAACTATTAGATATATACTGTATATATAAATCCACTAAAAAAATGAATATTGATTTATATTTCAATATATATACACTGTATATATAAAGTTTGCTTTGATTTAGTATTTTTTATTATTATTTAAACTGTATTCAAGTTTCAATAAAAAAATAATAAATTTTTTTCATCAAAAAACTAAATAAATTTCAATTTCAAATTTAATCTCAATTATATATATATATATATATATATATATATATATATATATGAAATATCTGAATATTATATGAATTATTTGCAAGTTTTATCAACAAAAAAAAATAAAATACAAGATTATATATAAATTTATATATATATAAGTATATAAAATAAATATATAGACAAATATCTAAAGTGAGAAAAATCTATACAATATATTGATTTACTTGTGTGTCTCTGTGACTAAACTATTTTATTACAATATTTTTATTATTATTATTATTATTACAATATTATTTATATATATATATACACACACACTATTGAACATTCATACTATAGTATGAATATTCAATATATATATATAATATATATATATGCATTTGTATATACACTGTATGTATATATGATATGATAGTATTTGTAAAAGTTAATTATTTATTAGTATATATATGACAAAACGTCTAATTAATTTTGCAAATATTGTGCAAAAAAAAGTTTTTTTTATATAGGTTATACTTTTACGTTTGTTATTTATAATAATAATATATTTATTATTTATATATATATATTTGATTAATTTATCAATGACATTTATATATATTACCCATAGTTAGTTTTAATGTCATACATTGTTTGATTTTTTTTGTTTTGTTGACTTATATTTTTTTTACTAATAAATAAATATTTATATATATATATATAAATAAAATATAAATATAATAATAATAAACTATAGCAACACCAACAACAAAATTGACATATATTTTCTATTTAATTAAAATCTACTTAAAATTATTAGTTATTATTATTATACTATTAATTATATTAATATAATATCTACACATTTGTTAGTCATTTAGAAATAAAATTTCTTAAACAATATATAGACGATAATAATAATAATAATAATAATAATTAAAAATACTTTTTTCAATATCAAATTACCAAAAAATAATAATAATAATACTGTAATTGTATGTCTATTTACTATTTGAATGTATTTTTTGTCTATATGTATATAACTTACAATATATCCATTACATACTATCTTATAAATAATATATATATATATATATATATATATATATATATAGTGTATATTAAATTACAAAATATATAAACCAACAAAAAAAATCGATCTAAAAAAGTGTATTATAATTGTATAATATATTCAACTAACTATAAAATTACATACAGTATATAAAAATATATAAAAAATAATATTTACATTAGATTTTTTTTAATTTATATTATATTATATATATAAATTTCATATTAGCTACTTGAGCTAGCACATTGAATAAATTTTGACATTAATATATACAGTATATATACATAATGTAAAGGTATATAAAGTATATATGAAAAAATTAAATTAAAAATATAAGTTTTTTTCAACTAAATTTTTTTTACTATTATTGTTAAATGTGACAATTGATGACATTTATAGATACCAGCAAAAAAAAGTTTAAAATTAAATTTATATATTTTACTTATTTATTATATATTATAATAAAAATTGAATGAATGAATAAAATTATTTTAATAGCTGGCAGGCAATTGGCAATCGTATTGGACATTGAGATTGAAAAATTCAATTTCATTATACAGTATTATACTGTATATGATATATAAATTTATATTTAATATAATAAAAAACTTATAAAACATTTAATGGCACTCAAAAACTCAATATTTTATAGCTATACAAATTAGCCTATATATAAATTTATGTGTATGTGTATGTGTATGTGTATGTGTATGTGTATGTGTATGTGTATGTGTATGTGTATGTGTATGTGTATGTGTATGTGTATGTGTATGTGTATGTATGTCTGTATAAATTGAAATATATATTGTATTAAATAGTTTATGGTGGGCACAGCAGTGATTGTGTGTTAAATAAATATAAATTATACCCACAAAACAAAAATCAAACACAAAAATAGACCCAAAAAAAATCAAAATCAAATAAATAAATGGTTTGTTTGACACTTACGCGTAACGATTTGGTGTTGGCGTCAGACACGATGTCATATATCGATCCCCCGATCACTACCTAAACACACATATATATAAAATACAGTATATATATATTCAGTATATATATATATATGTTTTAGTATTGCATTTAGTTTTTTATATATATTTGAATGTTTGAATCGACAGACAAAAAAAAATAATGAAAAGAGAAGTAGAAGTAGAAGAATAAGTCAGAAGAAAGAAAAGATTAGTTTCTCTCTCTCTCTCTCTCTCTCTCTCTCTCTCTCTCTCTCTCTCTTCAGACAAATCAATGAAAAGGATGACTGAATTCAAAATAGACTACAAAACAAACCGGAGTTGACTTCTTCTTCTCCATCATCTTCTTCTTCATCGTCATCTCCTTCTTCTCTTCATCTGCTGATTGATTGCTAACTTCAGAAGTCAGACAACGATTTAGGTTTTTTTGATTTATTATTTCAGTTGATTTCATCATTTCTGTGAACTCAATCAATGGCTCTCTATTATCACTGATAAAGAAAGAGAGAGAAAGAGAGAGAGAGAGAAAAAAAAATTAATACAATTTTTTTCTTCATATAAATTATGTATTATTAAGATATCAATGAATGACTGACTGAATGAATGAATGAATGAATGAATGAATAAGAAAATTAATTAACTTATGTATTGAATTTTGATGAAAAAAAATTGCATATAAATTATATGGTAATTGAATATATAATTTATTTTATTTTTTAAATATAAGAAATTATTTATATTAATGTCTAAAAAAATTTGTTTTATATATATATATATATATATATATATATATATATATATATATATATACAGTATATATATACCTATTAGTTAGTAGTTTAGAAAATTCAATAGCAATTTCGGCTCCAATTTCGACATTATGTCTAATGAGACCCAAGTTTGCCGACAATGATTGGCCATCAGTTAACTGATTGACACGACTGAGCAAATATGGTGTCACCGATTTACCTGATATATTGTTATCACTGATATATCAATATAAAAAATATATAATATATTTATATTAAAATTTTTAAAGTTATAAATAAAAATTTTAGATAAAAATAATTACTTGATTTCTACTAAGGCTTTACCGATAGCCGCGTCTATTTGCTGGCCAATTGCCTGATAGTCGTGCGGTATGGGAACGGCCACAACAATTGCCGATTGCAGTCCCAATTGATTACGACTGGCTATAATTTTGGCCACTTCGCCGCTATTTTCCACATTATAGCCAACCGATGATCCGCTAGTGCGCTGAAAAAATGCCGGAAACTCCCATTTATTTCCGCCGCCGCCGTCCGACTTGTCCTCCACTCGGCGGTCGCCGTTCAATACTATCACACATACGCCTTGCGTTTCGAGAAACTCCAATGTTTTCGGTATATCCAGTATTGACTTAACACCGGCACAGACAACAGTAATCGGTGTCCGACCCAATTCGGTCAGATCGGCACTGATATCCCAACTGTTGACGACATCCCGATGAACACCGCCAATACCGCCGGTAGCAAACACACCGATACCGCAACCGTTGGCCACCAGTGATGTAGCGCTTACTGTTGTACCGCCCGATGCCCGTCGGGCCACTGCGTAGGGCAGATCCGATCGCGATATCTTCAATAACCGGCCGGTTATTGAACTCTCTGTTTATAAACAAAAAATTGTTTAGTTTTAAGTTATAATTTAAACGATAAGTTTTATTATTATTATTATTATTATAATACCTTTAGCTAAATATCTGATCTGTTCATCGGTTAGTCCGACACATATCTGGCCATCGATGACAGCAATGGTAGCCGGAATCGCACCTTTGTTTCGGGCAATTTGTTCAACATTTTTTGCACATCTATTGGCATTTTTTAAAAAAAACAATTGATTTTTATTTATTAAAAATTTTAAAAAATATATTATTAATAACTTACTCTAGATTTATAGGATAAGGCATACCGTGTGTTATAATAGTCGATTCAAGTGCCACAACAGGTCTATTAGATTGGATGGCATCGACTATTTCATCAGTAATTTTTACAATTGATCCTTAAATTGGTTTAATTTTTTTTTAAATGTTTTAAAACTTTTTTATATTATATATATAAATAATTATATGATAGATAATTTATATCCTATTTAATTATAACCAGTGATTAAATGTTTGTTTTTTTTTTAAATTAAGACATTTTTATATTAAAGTTTAATTGTATAAACTTAACTATAGTATAAAATTAAATATATATATATCATCTATGAGTTTATATTAGTCATTGGGTTTTTATTATACATATATTAAACAAAATTATTAATTATTATAAAATAATTACATTTTTAAAAAAAAAAATCAAAAATATTATTATTTTTAAATAATGTTAGTGGATTTAATTCAATATTAATAATACCATTAAAGTGCAATTAATTTTTAATTACCTGATAATTCCCAGTAAATTAATTTATTAATAAAAAAAACTTACCCCCTCCCCTCCTATAAGTTTTGTATATTATACTTAAATTTACTCTTAAATGTACCAGTGTATAATTTATTAGCCCCAATATGAGATATTAATTGATTAGTAGCTACAACCCACTACCCCCCATTACCCCATTACCCCTACCCTTAATTAATTTTTTATTACAATATTACATTACTTTTTATATAACTAAATTAGATTAAACTAATTAAAAAAATTATATTAACTATATATTACAGTTACCTAATTGTAATGATACAGTATTAATAATATCATAATTAATCATAAAGTTTTAAAACTTTCAAAAATTAAAAAAAAAACATTATTTATTTGATTAATTGATTGATTGATTGGACTCTAGAGGCGCTAATATCTACAGTTATATAACAATATATTGATATATATATTATATAATATAATCAAATATAAATTTTTTTGGGGATAAATAAAACTTTTTATTATGTTTTTTTCAACAAAAAAAAATACTTACCATTAGATCGACTAAATGATAGTAATCTTGATGTTGTTGTTGTTGTTAAACATTTTTGTTGTTTAAAAATTAATTTTGAATAACTACTGACAAACTTTTTATTATTAATATTATTATTATTGATAAAAATTTTATGTCGACTATTTAGGAAAATTTTATTTGAAACTAATCTAGCTAAGTGATTCATTTTATTTATTTTTTTAAATTAATTTATTTATTTAATTTAATAAATTGTAAATAAATATAAATATAAATATAAATCACTTAACAAAATTTAATTTTTATAATATTATTATATACTGTATATTTCAAATGCACCATTGACATTTATTTATTTATTTTTTTTATAAATAACAACAACAACAAATAAAATCCCTGATAGTTAATAAATAATGTAAAACTAAACATAAAATTTTTCAAAATAAAACTAAAATATTTTTGTTGGGATATATAAAGTTAGCGTCAAATTTAAAATTATGATATATTTATTGTATTTGATATACAGTATTAGATAATATAATTTATATATAACTAACTAAACAGTATAGTAAAACAATTTTGTTTTTGTTATTATTAAAATATATAATTCAATTTTTTTTAATAATAATATGATACAAACATTGATAACTTATTTAGTTGTATTGTTTCAAATAATTGTTATATATATATTTTTTGGTTATCATATTAAATATTATACTATATATTATTATAATCTAATAATAATAATAATAATAATAATAATAATAATAATAATAATAATAAATACTATAGTAATATTATATTCACATAAAAATGTTATTTTATATTCATATAGATATAAAATCCTATTTTACATTTAATAACAATAAATTTATTTTAAAATATATTTTACTGGGATATTATATTCAAATGTTTATATATATATTTATATATATAATAATAATAAATATACAGTATATTTTTCCAAATGTAATTTTAAAGTTATCAAGTTAAATTAAGATAAAATTATATGACATTAATAAGTTTTATAGTTATATATATATTACAGTATATAATATATATAATGTTTGTTTAATGTGTATTATGTAATATTGAGACAAAAACCTTTTATTTCAATTTATTTATAGTTAATATATATATTGTATAATATCTTTATTCAATTATTGTATCAAACAAAAAATTATATGACATATAATAGTTTTATTAATATATATATATATAAAAAATTATTGATATTATTGAAGAAAAAAATTTTTCTATTGAAAAGGATATCATCCAAACAAACATAAATTTCTAGTGAATTATATTTTTAGTTTTTTTTGTTGAGAAAATACAGTACAAAAAAAATTCATAACCCATTTTTAGCCGATTATTATATTATTATTATTATATTTTATTTATTTTTTTATAAAAAAAATAAATAAATTTATATTTATTTTTCTCTCTCTCTCTATTGAAACTGCACTTTATTGTCATGACTACAGAGTGATGGTATGTCCTGTTATTATATATACCATACCATAGATATATCGCCATTACTTTCAACACATATATTATCAATTCATTTCATATCTTATTCTTTCTCTCTCTCTTTCTCTCTCTTTCTCTCTCTTTCTCTCTCTTTCTCTCTCTCTCTCTWTCTCTCTCTCTCTCTCTCTCTCTCTCTCTCTCTCTCTCTCTCTCTCTCTCTCTCTCTCTCTCTCTCTCTCTCTCTCTCTCTCTCTCTAACTATTTATCTATCACTCAATGTCTCCCAAAAAGTAAAGTTATTTTTTTCTTCTATGTCCCCAAAAAAAATCAATACAACATTTCATATATATATATATGACTATCTATTCCTAGAAAGAGAGAAAGAGAGAGAGAGAGAGAGAGAGAGAGAGAGAGAGAGAGAGAGAGAGAGAGAGAGAGAGAGATTCATATTTAATTAATTTATATATATATATATATATATATATATAAAATATAAATCTATCTTCAAAATGACTATTTTTCTATCTATTTAATAATAAATAAATGTTAAAAATCTCTATATATATAATAGTAAAGCAAATTGTAAATGACATCCTATATACACGTGTTGTATATATATACTGTATAAAAAATTTATAAATATATATATTAAGTACCTTGTTTACCACTATGTCATGTAAAATAATATTTTTATTTTTTATTATTTTAAAATAAATATATATACTTAACATTAAAAATTTATATATTTAAAAAAAACTTATATATATATATATTATATACTGTATTTTATTTGATAGGATAAGTTACGTGCAATATAGTGATGTTAAAAGGATTTTTTTTTAATTTTATTTTTAAACAGATAAAAAAAATTAATGATAAAATAAATATAGAGAGAGAGAAAAAAAATATTAATATTAAAAGTAAATAAAAATTTTTTGTTGTTATAAAATTTCATTAAAAAATTTTAAAACAACAACAAATATGTTACATAAATAATTTCCAGGAAATTTTCTCTACTATATATATATACTGTATATATATTAAATCAAAAACATTGATTATTAGATAATTTAATTTTAGCTGGTGGAAAACTTTCCTAGAAACTTTCCCTAATGAAAATTATTTTAGTTTTTACATACATTATTAATTTCCATGAAATTTTCCAAAATATAAATGATATATATATATATAAGTATAATATTATAAAAAACAATTTTTAAACAATCATTAATCAAATTAAATGATTTTATTTAATATTATAAAACAAAACAAAACAAAAAAATATCAAATAGTTTTTAAAACTATCTATTTTTTTCTCAGAAAAAATACAGATAAATAAATAGTTTTCAAAAATTGTACTATTATTTAGAAAATAAAAACTTTTTTTTATACAAATAAAAGTAATTTATTTAGCACTTACTTAAAATTAAGTTTTATTTTTAATTTTTTTGTTGTAATTTTTCATTGAATTTATTTTTCAATTTTTTTTGTGCGCTCGTAATATGACTTATTGATTGTTATAATAATAATAATAATAATAAATTAGATATAAATTATTTATTACATATATCTCTATACAGTATTAATAATATAAAAATAAAACTTTTAAAGCTTTTATATAGTTTGGCTTAATTTTTGTTTAATAGGATTATTAGCTAACATATTATCTTGTATTTAAGTCCTATGATTTAATAATATTATCTAAAAATATAATAAAAATAATCACTACATTATTATTATAAATTTTATATTTCTATAAAAATATTTATCTCCTCAAAAAAATACAAATAAAATATCATAAAAAGTATATTTTTTTGCAAAAAAATGTATTATTTATAAAGTTATTATTTAGTAACCAGAATATTCTATATATATATGTTTTATAAAGATATTTAAATATGTTTTTAAAATATTTATTTTAAAATATGTATTAGTATAATAAATATAATATATCTGCTGGATTATTTTTTGTTTGTTAAACTAATAAATTTTATGAGTTTGATAATAATAATATGTTTTTTAATAATATATTTAATAGTTTGCATGTATAAAATTTATAAGTTATATTTAAATATATATATATAAGATTTATGATTATATTAACTAACTTTGTTAACACACAATCATTATTGTCGAGAGAGAGACACACAAAAGGGTGGGACACGATATATCACACACACACACACACACATACATACAAACTCACACATACACATACAACACACACACATAGAAAATAAAATAAATTACCGATAATGTACAGTAAATTTAATATATCATATAAATTTAATATACATTAATATTACATTATTATTAAGTACTTTAAAAAAAAAAAATTATTAATATTTGAAAATGATATAAATTTGTTTTTTTAATGAGTTTTTACTGTAAATCATTTTTTTAAAAAAAATTATTAGAATTTTATGATAATAATAGTCACTAATTAGTTATTATTGTAAAACAATATTTGTTAATATATAGTAACATATAATTTTGATTGTTAATTATATTTAATAATAAAAATAAATACTAAAAATAATAACCAATATATAGTCTCTATTGTTCTTCACTGACAATCGATTTGGTTCTTTCGGACTCAAAGCCAACGGTTCCCGGTTTTGAATGTAGCCGTCGATTGCCTTCTTTGCGTTTAATAGCGCCGACAATATCGCGCTTTTCTTTCGACGCGTGCATCACATGTTTGGGTACGTGTCGGTGACGGGCTATACGCCTGACTTCCGGATGATTGCCAAACTTGTCCATCAGTTTCTGATTATAATCGGCAGCCGATTGTTCCCTAAATGACTTCAGACCTAACTTTTCCGATGCATACGCTTTCCACAAACGTATATCCATTTCGTCGGAAGCCGATACCAGATATTTGTTGTCCGCTGACCACAAAACGGCTGTCAATCGTTGCATACGTTTGGTGTGATAAACATCACGCGAACGGCCCATTTCCGTACCGAATATCCGAACAGTTTTATCGTACGAACCGCTAACAAATTCGCGTCCAGTCGGCGAATAGTCGACATCGATAACGGCCGCCACATGATCTTTGTGTACCTGTTGGGCGGCTTTCAGATTACGCAAATCAAATGTATATAAATCGCTGTCCTCGTTGGCCGCGGTAAACACGAAAGCTTCCATCGGATTCCAGGCCAGACTGTTTGTACGCATTTTCATTATGACTTTGCGTAGCGGTTCCGATCGCCGAGTGTCGTAGATTTGTATACTTCGGTCGCTGGCCGCACCCGCACACAAATCCGTTTCGATTGGATTGAATTTGACACAACTGACACTATCCGAACCCCATTTGTATGTCCGCAACGGTTGGGTTCGGGTTTCTTCCCACAGATCAACCGATTCGCCGCACGTAATCAATAGGGGTTTAGTTCGATGGCAATCCATTCCGTGGACAACCGTCTGGGATATCAGTGTATTCATTGGCGACGACGACGAGTTTACCGATCTAGTAGTGTTCATCACGTCATCATAGGATTCCCTGAATGGCCACTGTTTGATAGTTTGGTCGCCAACCGAAAAAAAGTACCGCCCGTGCAATGGTACACAAATCTGTCGGACAATTGAGTTGTGGCCGTCGATAATGTCAAGACATTTTCGGTCGGCTAAATTCCACAGTTTTAGTTCGCCATTAGCCGCACCCGATAGCAATACGGATAGCCGTGTCGGATGTTTGGCCAAACATTGGACAATATCCGAGTGGCCGTCCAGCGAACATAGAAACGGTTTGGCAAACATACGGTCCATTTTGACGGCATTTACCGCACGTTTGTATTCGCGATTGGTTTCAAACGGATGCAAATGCGGACTATAGTTGCGTTCAACTAAATTCGGTGATAAATTAATTAATTGGCCAATTGGTGGACACTATATATCGGGAATACCGATACTAACCTTTATGAATGTCATGTTTGGTTTGTCGGACAAAATCGTCGTGACTTCGGCTCAAGACTTTGACTTTCATGGCTTATTATATGTATGAGTGGCCAGCGATAGTGGCGGTTATTATCGGTAGACACGACGGCGGGCGGCGGCGATAAAGTGGTCACTGTTTTTAACAAACTAACCGTACGTCCGATGAATCACATGGTATACGACAACAACAGTATTAAACACTAAACACGTGTCCAAACAAAACGTTGTTTATGTTTAACATTCAAGTAGTCAATACAGTAAAGTAAAGTTAAAAGTCAACCAATCAAATGATTACTTTATATTTTTTTAATATTTATTAAAGTTTTTTTTTAAAAAAAAAATTTAGACTAAATTTATATTATTATTAATATTTAATTATTTGTTAAAACAAATTAGCTATTAATTAATGTATATATAAAACTATTAACTTTTCAACTATTTTTTTTAAATATATAAAATTTTTTAAAATTAATAAAATTTACAAACTGTAAAAATTTATAGACTATTTTAGAATCTAAAATTTAGATAATTAAAAAAAATAATTTTTTGTAAAAAAATTATTAATCAGTCTATTGGCATATAGTTTATAGATATTTATAATATTTTAAATAAATTATTTTTTTTTGAAAAAATTACATTACAATTAATTAATAACAATTTACTAGTAATTTCATATTATTGAAATAATTTTAATTTGACGCCCACCCCCACCCCACCCTAAATAAATAAAAACCTAAAATACATTAAAAAAATTTTAGTATATCTTTATAATAATTTAAATATTTAAATAAATAGATATTAAATATATAACTATAAAAGTACTGTATATTTATCGAGATAACTATAAATTGTATAAATAGTTTTTATTGCTAAATAAATTAGAAATTATTATTATTTTTTATCTACAAATTTAATCTAGGTTTATATTTATAATATTATCAATAGTACAAATAGTAAATTATTTACATAGTAATATTTATATATTTTTAATTTTTTGTATTTTAAACATATACTGTATATATTTTATTTTCAAAAATATCAATAATAAAGTAATTAAAATAATAAAATAATTAATTTTTATTTTAATTTTTTGTTTTATTTGTTTGTATAAAAAAATACATAATTATTATTAATAATAAATTATATAAACAACAATATAAAAAAATTCAATGAATTTTATTATTTATTATTTATTTATGTATTAATGATATGTAGTGTTTGTATACAGTAATCAATTACATAATAAATATTTTTTTAAAATTCCTATAATGTTGAGGTAATAAACCTAAAAATTTATTATTACGTTTTGTAATAATAATAATTATTATTATTATTATTTTAAAAATTTGTATTTAATTGACAATTCAATATAAACAGATTTTGATATGGACCTTGATGATTATTATTATTATTATTATTATTATTATAATTATTATTACAAAATAATTGGCAATTTTCTAGTTTTTATTGTTTAATATTATTGTTTAATAATATTATATTGTATTATAATTATATATATATATAATTGATTGATTGATTGACAACTAATAATTTAGTTATTTTTTTACGCAAAAAAAATTTAATAAATGAAACTAACTTTTAAATATATATATAGACTGACCAAATGGTAAAATTAGTTTTTTTTAAAAACTTATTTTATTTACACACAAAAAATCAACTAATATTATAATAATTTATGTTTAAATATTTTTTTAAAAAAAGTAAATGTTATTTAAATATAGATTTATATAAATATTTTTAGCTAGCTAAAATTCAAAATCTATGATTATATGTTTTTATTTAGTTTTAATCAATTATCAATTACTTATAGGTATGGAAATAGTTAAATGTAAAATAAATTATTAATAATAATAATAATTAAATAAACATTTATACTGTATATATTGGTAACTCTACTTGATAATTGATTATAATAAATTGAAATAAATTACTAACAAACAAATAATAATAAAATAAAAATTTAAATACAGGTGCACTTAATTATAATAGTTTAATGCTAATTAATAACAAATTGTTGTAAAGTGTGTGTGTGTGTATGTATGTGCGTGTGTGTGTGTGTGTGTATGTGTGTGTATGTGTGTGTATGTGTGTGTATGTGTGTGTATGTGTGTGTATGTGTGTGTATGTGTGTGTATGTGTGTGTATGTGTGTGTGTGTGTGTGTGTATGTGTGTGTGTGTATGTGTGTGTATGTGTGTGTATGTGTGTGTATGTGTGTGTATGTGTTTGTATGTGTGTATGTGTGTGTGTGTGTGTGTATGTGTGTATATGTGTATATGTATGTCTATGTGTGTGTGTGTGTGTGTATGTATGTATGTGTGTGTGTGTCTATGTGTGTGTGTATGTATGTATGTGTGTGTGTCTATGTGTGTGTGTGTGTGTGTGTGTGTGTGTGTGTATGTGTATGTATGTATGTGTGTGTGTGTCTATGTGTGTGTGTATGTATGTATGTGTGTGTGTCTATGTGTGTGTGTGTGTGTGTGTGTGTGTGTGTGTGTGTGTGTCTATATGTATATATGTGTGTATATGTATGTATGTCTATGTGTACAGTATGTGTGAATCATTGTATAATTAATAATATTAATTTACTACAGTATATACTATATACAGTATATTACACATATGTATTACACCATAAACAGCGTATATGTTGTTTGTAGTGGTTTTTTGTTGTATACGTCTCTCTCTCTCTCTCTCTCTCTCTCTCTCTCTCTCTCTCATATGGGGACAGTTGTGTTGACTGTGTGTATGTTTGTCTGTCTATCTCTCTCTCACTGTATGTGTGTTATAATAAATACACTGTATATTTGACTTAATAAGCAGTGAGTACTGTACTAAACAGTATACAGTATACTAGTGTTTATCCCTTACTGTATAAGTGTTGTTGTGTTGTGTTTTGTGATTACAATATAAACACCAAATACTATACAATAAATATATATATGAATCACATATCATATCAATATTGAAATCATAACTAAAATTAAATTAAATATTATTAATAATTATATGTTTTTTTTGTGATTATTGTTTCAAAACAAATAGTTTATTAAACTTTTTTTTTATAGACCAAAGAAAACCCATTAGTAGTCTATCTATAGTGTTGTCGTCCAATGGACTGACTTTTGTATTGACCATCAGTTCCCACACAACTGGTTGTTGTTATCCCTCCACAGGAAGTCATTAATATCAAAGACAAGACTTTTTTTATATATATATAATTTAAATAATAATAAGACTATTATATATATAGACATCACTTCAAAGACTGTCTCTTGAGATGAGCTCTAGTTTTGTCTCTTTTTTTTTGAAGTCATTTGTTTAAAACCCATCTCTTCATTGGCTATTGTCTTCATATATTTTAATCAATGATATCGTCGTCGTCTCAATCATATCGTCTTCATTGTCGTCGTCGATGGCAATGATGATGACAATGGCAGTGACCACTAGTACTGCTTCATCATCATCAGCAGCATCGATGTCCTCAACTACTTCCTCATCGGCTAATACAAGACTACATACCAACGCAGCCGCAGCTGCCGCCGCTGCCAACGATATGATAATGACATCGTTTAATATAACCGATTTGACTGCCGAAGAACAGCACTTGCTGTCGGAAATTAGGCGCCGAAAAGCCGAACTAATGGCCGAAATTCAACAGCTAAAAGACGAGATAACCAATGTTACCCACGAGATGTCCAAACTGGAGGTCAACAACGATGACGAATCGAAAGTGAATACAAAAGAAAAGCAACGATCGATCGGTAAAAAGCGATTCAATATGGATCCGAAAAAAGGTATCGAATATCTGGTGGCCAACCAATTGGTCGCACAGACACCCGAAGCTGTCGCCCATTTCCTGTTTCTCGGCGAAGGACTCAATAAGACGGCAATCGGTGTCTATTTGGGCGAAAAGATTGATTTCAATCTAAAAGTTTTGGACTCATTCGTCGAATTACACGACTTTACCAATCTGATCCTTGTCCAGGCTCTCCGTCAGTTTTTATGGTCATTTCGGCTGCCAGGAGAAGCCCAAAAAATTGACCGAATGATGGAAAAGTTTGCCCAACGATATTGTCAGCAAAATCCGGGCGTCTTCAGCAATACGGATACCTGTTATGTACTGAGTTTTTCGATCATTATGTTGAATACGGCTCTGCATAACCCGTCGGTAAAAGACAGGCCAACAGTCGATAAATTTGTTACAATGAATCGTGGGATCAACAATGGCGGCGATTTACCAAAAGAATTGCTACAATCGTTGTACGATAGTATCAAACAGGAACCGTTCAAAATACCCGAAGACGATGGCAACGATCTGATGCATACGTTTTTCAATCCCGACCGGGAGGGCTGGCTATGGAAACAAGGAGGCAGATATAAGAGTTGGAAACGTCGATGGTTTATACTCAACGACAAGTGTCTGTACTATTTTGAATACACTACCGATAAGGAACCCCGCGGTATCATTCCCCTGGAAAATGTCCAGATTAGAGAGTGTCCGGAACGTACATCCAAACCGCATTGTTTTGAATTGTTTTCCGCGGGCGGACCGTCGGAATTTATCAAAGCCTGCAAAACCGATGCCGACGGCAAAGTAATCGAAGGCCGACACACTGTCTATCGGATGTCCGCCGCTACGGCCGAAGAAAAAGACGAATGGCTTAAAGGTATCAAAACAAGTATAAGTCATAATCCGTTTTACGATATGTTGGCCGCCAGGAAACGTAAGGCTCAACATTACTGATGGATGGATGGATATGATGGATGAGAGGAGGAATGGGAGACATACATACATATTGATACACACACTTACCGTACACCACCCCACCCCACCCCACCCCCCAAAACACACCCTACCCTCCTCCTTCACTAAGTCACCGAATTTTCAGTATCTATATTATTATTATTATTATTACCGGTATATTAAATAACGTAAATATTAATAATAATAATTTGTTTGTTTGTTTGTTGCAAAACATTTTTTTTAATATAACTTTTTTAATTAATTAATTAATTAATTTACTGTATTATTATTATTTATGATTAACAAAATTAGCACAAATTATGTTTTAATATTACTGTGTGTGTGTGTGTGTGTGTGTATCTATAGTACACTGTATACTACTGTAGTTTAGTGTACTTAATATTTTTGATATTTAAAAAAATGACCGTAATTTCCACTTTAAATTTAAATACAATATTTATCCACACAATTACCAAACTAAATGAGATATAAAATATTGTATTTATATTATATATAAATATATATATAATTCACTAATCATTTTGACGATAGATATTATATTATATGATATTAACAAAACACTAGTTTGTTTGTCACACTAGTTCTGGTCATTTTTATTTGAAAAAAATAATAATTATAATTAATTTATATATTTAAAATAAAACCAAATCACAAATATATATATATACAGTATATGATTATTAAATTGTATAGAAAAAAACCACAAAATATATTATTATAATTATATAACTTAACTGATGTGTGCCTTCAAATTAATTAATTAATTAATCAATCAATCATTAAATAAAAAATTTAATTAAATAAAATTTTTTATTAATATTATTATAATTAATAAATCAATTTTAATTCCGATTATATTTTTTGAAAAAATTAAATCTAATAATACAGTGAAATTTGGTTTCTTTGTTTTTTATTATTATTTAAATACTAATTTAATAATAATAATAATAAATACCTAAATGGATTGATTGATACCTCTATTAGTAGGATCTAATAGCCGGTGCAACCGTATTACATTCCCGATCCAATGTTTCATCTATAACCGGCCGATACCATAGCTTAACCTTACCGGTCGACTGGTCGACAACTGCCAGTGTATGTTTACGCCAGTGTTCGGCGATCGGTCGTTTCTGTTGGCCGTCCAATGGTTTTGAATAATCATATTCATCGACCCGGTCCTTGAAATCTTCACGGGCGTGTGCGCCACGGCTTTCCTTGCGCTGTTCGGCACCGTTGATGACCATCAGTGCGTTGAGCATCAGGTTCTGCAGTTCAAGTGTCTCAACCAAATCGCTATTCCAGATCAATCCTCTGTCATTAATCTTGGAAATCAAAAACAAAACAAAAAAAAACATAAAAATTTCAAATTATGTAATCATTGAGGAAAGTTATGTCAGTTTTTTATTTGAGAGGGGATTTTACACAACCATTATATACATCATATCATATAATAGTGTAATAATTATATGTTTGAAACCACCAACAAAAAAAAATCCCAAACAAAATAATATTTTTCTAATAATAATAATAATGACTTTTTTTTACCTTAATATCGGACAGTTGTGCGTAACAGTCGTCTATCTTAACGCAACCTTCCTTCAGACTATCGCCTGTCCTGAAGACAGCCGCGTGCGACTGCATATCCTTTTGCATCTTCAGCCGTAGTTCAGCCGTCGATATCGATCCATTCGAATTGCGGACTTTATCCAGATTGGCCACCGATTGCTCGCCCGACGATTCTTTCAGTTCCCGAATCGATTCGCCCGGTTTGTTGGTTTCGGCAATAGTGTGGGCACAGGCCCGGCCAAACACGACCAAATCGAGCAACGAGTTGGCACCCAATCGATTGGCTCCGTGAACGGAAGCACAGGCCGACTCACCGGCAGCGTAGAGACCAGGAATCACGACATCGCCTCTGCCTTCAACGTGTGTCAGCACTTGACCCTTGAAATTAGTGGGAACACCGCCCATATTGTAGTGGACAGTCGGCAATACTGGTATCGGTTCTCGGGTAACATCAACCCCGGCAAATATCATTGCCGTTTCGGAAATACCCGGCAATCTCAGTGCCAATTGTTCGGCTGGCAAGTGATGCAACTGTAGATATACATGATCTTTGTGTGGTCCACAGCCGCGACCCTCCCGAATCTCGATGGTCATCGATCGGGAAACTACATCACGCGAGGCCAGATCTTTGGCTACGGGAGCGTATCGTTCCATAAAACGTTCGCCTTCGCTGTTGACCAGAAAGCCGCCCTCACCGCGACAACCCTCGGTAATGAGACAACCGGCACCGTAGATACCGGTCGGATGAAACTGGACAAACTCCAAGTCCTGGCAGGGAATACCGGCCCGGCATACCATAGCCGTACCGTCGCCGGTAACCGTATGGGCTGACGTACACGAAAAATAGGCCCGACCTAAGCCGCCAGTGGCCAACACTGTATTCTTGGCCCTGAATCGATGCAACGAACCGTCTTCGAGATTCAATGCAATAACACCCACACATTCGCCACTATTTTCATCCATCAGGAGATCCAATGCGAAGTATTCGACAAAATAGTTACAATCGTAGCGCAGAGACTGACCATAGAGAGTGTGTAGCAGCGAATGGCCGGTACGGTCGGCTACGCAACAACATCGATGAGCTTGGCCACCTTTACCGAAATTATACGATTGGCCACCGAATGCACGCTGATAGATTTTGCCGTCGTTGGTCCTCGAAAACGGCATACCATAGTTTTCCAGTTCGACCACTGCTTTCGGTGCCTCCCGGGTCATATAGTGTATGGCATCCTGGTCGCCCAGCCAATCCGATCCTTTGACCGTATCGTACATATGCCAGCGCCAGTCGTCCGATTCCATATTGCCCAATGCGGCGTTGATACCGCCCTGGGCGGCCACCGTATGCGATCGGGTCGGAAACAGTTTGGTTATGACAGCCGTTTTGAAACCTTCTTCGACGAGACCGAATGCAGCCCTGAGTCCGGCACCGCCGGCACCGACAACCACCGCATCGAATGTATGGTCAACAACGGGATAGTCACGTGATATCTAAAGTTTCGGGTAATTAAATTAAATTATAATTAATTAGGGTAAACATTGGTGATGGCCATCATTTTTATTTACCCGATTACCAGTCGACTTTCGCTGGCTGTCCGTTTGTTTGCCGGCGGCGGCGGCGGCAGTAATCGGCGATACGTGTAGGCATCGGTGGCCGGTATTGTTGGCCAGTGATGACCTTAGCCGACGGGTCAGCAATCGTTTTGTATAATAATTGATTGCTTTTGTTAACGACATTTGATTTTTAATTTTTTTTTTTTAATAATTATTTAATTATTTTATTTTTTGTATTATTATTATAGTGTTTAATACACTTATGTATGTATAAGATATATATGATATATAAATACAATATATATATATTAGTTATAAACCAATTGATTGATTGATAGGTTATTATCTATTACTTAACAACTTGTTATATATATAATGATAATACTGTTTGTGTAATAAATGATAATTGATTTTTCAATAAATATATATATATATATATAAAAAAAGTGTTAAATAAATGTTTTATTTATTTATTTAATATTTTTTTTTCATATATATCACACACTATTATTAATACTTAATAAAAACAAACAAAATTTAATATAAATTTAATATACTGTAGTAGTAATACTATAGTTTAATAATAAAATAAAAATAATAATATTTAATTAATGCAATTATAATAATTATAATAATACTGTAATAAATAGTTTTATTTTATTTAATATATTTTTTATATGTATAATGAATTCACGGTTACTATTGTAATGTTAACAGTGTTTTAACAGTGTGTTTGGTATACATTAATACATAGATATTCTGTAAATGTTTTCAAAAATATCTATAAAAATTTTTTTTTTTTATAGTAAAAGCATTGAATGTTTTTATCAAAATAGTAGACTAAGAAAACCGGGTTTAGTATTTGGATTCGGTTTTTATAATTTATTTGATTAATTAATATATCGATATTAATATTGTTTTTTTATTATCAAAATAAATTGATATAAATTTAATTTTGTTTATTATAATTTTTTAATAATTAATTATTTTTTAATAAATTTTATTGTTTTTTTTTTAATAAATATTGTTTGGTTTGGGTTTTAAAAGTGTTACAGTTATTTGGTTTAACAGCTCTAATGAACCGTACAAACACAGTGTTTAATAGTAACACGAAAAAAACATTGACTCCATGTTTATTAAGCTTAAAGCTATTTATAGGCGGAGCTTATATATATACAGTGTATATTATACATACAATAGCTTTTACATGGTATATAAATTATCAATGATATATAAAGTAATATAATCTATGAGTTATAATAGTGCAGTACATGTATTTAAGTAAACTATATATTCATTTAACCTTTCAATAGTTGATGGCTTAAAGTTTGAAACAATTTATTATTATTTATTTAAAATAAATTATTTTTATTTATAATATATATATATATATAAAGGTATATATATTAGTTAATGGTTTTGTTGTACATTTGGGCCTTTTTATAGATAAATATGAGTCTAAAAAATTGTTTGTTTATTTTTAATAAGCTATTGTTGCCTATTGTCTATCAATCAATTGTCATGGTAACCATATCAAACATTTTTTAAATATCATGGACAATAATTTATTTTTAAAAAATATAAATAAATATATTTTTTTTACTAATTTATACTAAATAAATAAACTAAATAATTTATTTATTTTAATTTTTTAAAAAACATAAATTTTTATCTAATGTTTTATAATCATAAATGTACAGGATCAAAATACTCAAATTTGAACACACTACATATATATACAGTACAACATAATTATTGTGACAATGTTATTTTTATGTATATAAACAATATGTTTGTTTTTTGTGTGTATTATTAAATAGGATCTAATGTATCATATTATTTGAATTGAATATTTTATATACACTGTATTTAATAACTGTATAATAATAACAACAAAATTAATAACAAATATTTTTTTTTATAAACAAAAAAATTTTTTAAATTATTTTTTTTAAATAAATAATTATTAAATATAAACTTCACATTAGTTTTGAAAAAAACTATTGACAAAAAAAACTTTTACAAAACTCACGTGCGTTGGGAAAACACGTGTCCGCGAACCGCGCGTATCATTGGCCGCTAACCGCGTGGTGTCGTTGGCCGCGCGGCCGTCGCCGCGACCGCGATGTCTGTCATTCACCGATCGCTATTCAGTTTGGTATCGTTGGCGCTGTTCGTAGTGTTGGTGGCCATCAAAGTGGACAATAAGTGCGATTGGTTTGTAATTTTCTCGTTACCGAATTATCACCCGAAGTATCGGTGGCCAACACAATATTGACTGACCATTAATTTGTTTGTTATTACCGTTTTCTATAGGAACTGGTTTGTCGTTTTCATACCGATGTTTGTCTTAGACCTACTAATGTGTCTAATGTTGGCCATGAAATGGCTACGGACTTCGCCGGCGGCGGCGGCTGGATTGTCCACTGCATCGACATCGGCCACCAATCGCTGGTCTCATTCGATATCAATGGCCACATCATCGGCAGCCCAGCGCCGACTCTACCAAAATATCTATTGCCTAACCTGTTTGCTAACGAAACTAACCTTTCAAGTGGTCATCTGTTTACGGCTGGACTACATCAGCGGTAGCCGATTACCACTCTATATAACATTCATACCGTTCTGGTTATGTATTATCTCCTGTCTGGGACTGATGGTCTCCACTAGATTTATATCGTCCGGCAATCGTTCAATCATCTCATGATTACTACCCGATGATAGTTACCATTACATATCTCACCGATTGTTTGCCGATAAAGTCGGTAATGGTCTACCAGTGGACACCACACCACACCACTTGTTATGGTGTGAACTAAACGGTGATATCATTTCAAGAAGTTATGTGTCTATTATTACCGATAATTACCGATAATAATAATAATAATAATGTGTTTGTGATAATTGAAATACAATTTTTGTTTTTTTTTAGTTTTTATTATATTATAATTTTAACCTTTTTTTTGTTGTTTATTTTGTTTATTGATTTTATTTTAATTACCTATAATTTAATTTAATTTAAATTTTTTTAAATTTGTATTTCAATACGATATGTAAGTTACTGTAAATTTATAGGAATATATATATATATATTGTATAATCTTATTAATCAATCAATTAATTTATTTGTAATTTAATATAAATAACAATAATAACAATAATAATAATACAGATAATAAAATAAAAAGTCGATTATATTATTTTAATTTTGTTTTATTCATTCAAATTAAAAATCAATTTTTGAATATATTATTATTATTATTATAAATTATTTAAATACTTGATTTGAACGTATAAATCATATTTTTATTTTTTATATAATATATACCGGTAATTTATTTTTATTTTTTGTTTAAATCAATCAATCAATCAATAATACAGTATATATACTGTATATAAATATATAATTTATAATATAATGTACTGTATATATATATATAATAAATTTATATCAATATATAATATATATTTTTTAATATTAATAATAGTTATTATAATAATAATAGAATATAATAATTATATAATAATAATAATAATAATAATAATAACAGGTTATATGTATTATGACTTTATATAAGTTGTTGTATAATATTATTTTTGTTTTTAAATTTATATATAATTTATTTTTATTTTTATTTTTATTTTTTTAATTTCAATTATTCATTTGACTAATAAAATGTTGGAATAATTTATATATATATATATATAAGTGAATACCAAAAAAAAAAAATCTTTTAGTAATTTTGGCGCTAATTATATATATATATATATATAAATCTCTAATATAATCGCAATTATCATCAAAATAATAATAATAATAATAACTCTTAGACCTAAAGATCTCTCTCTCTCTCTCTCTCTCTCTCTCTCTCTCTCTCTCTCTCTCTCTCTATCTCTGCTGAGGAAGTATTTCATCGAAAAAAAAATAAAACAACAAAAAAATAGTTACATATATTTTAATCAATAGATTACTATTAAAAATAATAATTATAATAAAAAGTCAAAGTTATCGATGACTAGAGCGGCGACCGACAGACATACATACATACAGATGGACAGACAGACAGACAGTACATACAATTAGTGGGGAATTGTTGTTGATTTCGTTGATTTGTTTTTTTTTGTAATTAAAAAAATATAATTTTAATTTCATTTTTTGTTTTTCGTTTTGTTTAAGACTTTGCAATCTTAGTGTTGGCGACGCCGCCGCCGCCGGCGATACCAAAGTCGATCTCAGCGTAAGCTAACTGATTGGATGATTGATCGCCGCCGACAATACCACCGCCAACACCGCCGCTATAGAGCAGTTGTTCCTGACTTCCGCAACACTGTGTGAGCATAGCTGTTGTAGTGGTGGTGGTGAGTGATGTCGAAGACAATGACGACGACGACGACGACGATAGTGATAATGGCGTTGTTATTGTCAGAGTCGCTGTTAGACCACTTGATGACGATAGATGTGATCCATATTTAGCGGCGGCCGCCGCCGATACTTCATCAGTAGTAGTAGTAGTAGTAGTAGCTGTGGCCAAATCTAGCGACGCATAGTTAAGCTCTTTGTCCGATGATATCGTCGTCGACAACGACGGAGGCGACGATCGACGCGGAGGTGAAGACGAAGAAGAAGAAATGGTTGTTTTTGGCTCATCATTACTACAACAACTACTACTACTGGTATTAGTTGTCATCAATTTGTTATTATCATCCAATCTATTGATGACTTGTTGTTGTTGTTGTTGTCTATCACTGGTTTTCGTTAAATTATTTGTATCACTATTTGTTGGCACCGGGAGCTGTTGCTGTGGTTCTTGTTGTTTACCAATAGTAGTAGTAGTAATATGACTATCGATAGAACTATTTCTTTGTTTAGCTTTGCCTCTGCTTCTGTTGGTGGTGTCTGACGATGAAGAAGACGACGACAACGACGATGATTCCTCAACAACGGTTGACTCCATGACCTGCGATAGTAGCGATGATGGCTCTGCAGTAGTAGTAGTAGTAGTAGTAGTAATAGTAGATCTTTGAGGCACATGTGTTGTCGTTGTAGATCTCATATCCAGACATACATAGTCACCATCACTACTATCGGCAACGACGACAACATCCGATTGTTGTTTAGTCTTAATATTGTTTTCGTTCATTGTTTGAGCAAATGATTCACTTGTTTTGGTCATTGATTTTATCGGATTTGTTTTCCAATGACTCTGCAGTTGTTGTTGTGATAGAGAATCGGAAGAATGTGATGAAGTAAATGAAGGAACTGTAGCTATTGTCTGTTGTTGTTGTTGTGATAATTGGATAGAATGGTCAGTAATAGTTGGTCTTAGATTAGCTGTTGAGTGTAAACTCGATGGCAGTTGTTTCAGTTCATGGTTTGTTGTTATCATATGTACTTCAATGTAATCATTGTTAACAATCTCTTTAGTTCTCTGGAACTGTTGGTCATCAATAGATCTGTTAATCAAATTATTAGTTGACTTTCTATCCAGTAGTCCTCCAGTAGTCAACTCGTTCATCGATGACGTAATCGACGGCGACGTAGTACTGGCCGATCCGATACCCGACGATGATGTCGACGATCGCGAATTTGATCGCTGTCTATGACCGCCGCTGCCGCCACCAATTGACGAACGTTTGATACGGTCTTCTAGGCGTTCCTTCATCTGCTGCTGTTGTGTAGAGGATTGCATAGACTTCGATGAATAATCGATTTCCATTAGATCTGTATCGATGTTTCTGCTGCCGCCGATAGCTCCGAAGCCGCTGCCGCCGCCGCCACCACTACCGCCGACGCCGCGACCAGCAATAAGCGATGATTTCGCAAAAATCGGTCGACAGCCGACAGTTGCGCTACGCTTTCGCGGCTGTGCCGGCGACAGTATCGGTGCGCTCGAAGCTTTCGGCAAATTTCGTTTCATCGATTCGTCTATAGCGGCCGTCGGACCGCCAATCTGTGTATCGACTAATGCCTGCCGTTTGGCCGCAATACGCATCTCACGCATGTTTGTCACATGACTTCCCATAGAAAAGGCACGAATTCGGATTTCATTCTCCTCAGGCGTTTGTGTACCCGATTTGATGGCCGCCGATGAGGACGACGCTGATGTCATTTGTTGTTGTTGTTGTTGTCTGGATTTGATGTTAGCTCTGATCAACGCTTTGGTAGTCGCCGTCGGCTGCGACGGACGACTACCAATACTGTAGGCCCGAACCGGTAGTATATAATCAAACGAATCCAATTCGTCGTCCGTATGGGGAAAGTATGACTTGACTTTATCCAAATGAAATTCCTCTTTAGGCTGCGGCGGTGGCGGCGCCGATCTATCATTAATTTTCGGAAGCGATTCCGATAGTGGCGCCATATTTAGATATTCGTCAATCGATTCCGATTTGATGATCATCTCCTGGCTGCTGCTCCTGGTTGTGATGGAAGTGGTGCACACCATTGGCATATATTCGGCAATGTTTTCGTTTGTATACAAATGTCTACTATCCAGTAGACCACTCGATCGGCGACTGGATACTAGACTATCGCTAGTTTCGACTGAACCGACCGGACTCATCGGTATATAAGGACTACTGTCTGGTTCGTCAATAACTTTACTATTAATCAACGATTTTGTTGCCGATCCGCCGATGATGGCAGCCGTAGTCGGCGATGTTATAGGCGACGGGTTCGAAGTCGGATAGAAATTCAGATTCAGATGCGATCGGACGCCCATCGACTGACAGCTGCCGCCGCAGCCACCGCTCGAGCTGCCCGTCGGCGACATTGACAGATAGTCATCAGTTTGACCGTCCTCTTCGGAAATGGGCGGCTCCGACGGCATTAGACTATTGTGAAGACTCAGATGATATTCGGAAACCGGTGTCAGACAATGACTACCACTGTCGTAGTCGTCTATCGATAGTGAACTACCAGTGCTATCAGTGGAATAGGCGGCAGAACTACTGGTTGAGGGTTTGAATACAAATACAGTTAGTCATTCATAATAAATGGTATGTATGTGTATGGCATACCTGAGCGGATTATGTGATGGCGGCGAATAGGACAGTGTTCTACTGTGTAATGTTAAGTGTAAACGATTATCACCGACACTACCGCTGCCACCGCCGCCGCCTCCATAGTGTTGCGGTGTTGTCCAGTGTCTGCTATCGACGACATGAGAGGACGACAACAACAACGAATCCGATTCGCTGGTAGTCCTCGACCGGGAAGAAGGCATCGAATCGCATCGGACGCGATCCGAACTCGACATCGAAGTTGTCTGCGCTGCTGCTCCTGTTGTTGTTGATGTAATATTTGATGAACTCTGATGAACACTAGTGGTCGACGATGTCGTTGACGAATAGACGGGACCACCACCACCGCCGCCGCCGCCACCGAATATAATCATACTTTGGTTCGTATGCGACGACGATGTCGATAACGATGACTGTGGCCGTCGACTGGTCAACGGTTTATCGCTGGTCGACGCACTACGAGGCCGTTGCGATGGACCGCCAAAATCTGATTCGTGATTCTTCGACGAACACATTGCCGCCAGAATTACTTCGTGCATATTCTGGGCAATGGCCGAATCGTCCGCTTGAATCCATATATCTCCGGGACCTATACTGGAAGATCGGCCCAATTCGATGAAAAACGTACTGGTCGTGTGACCGCATCGTCGAATACTGATCAATGGAAACTCGTAGACGTCGGGCGGTTCGCTGGCCAGCGGATCCACTTTGACAATGTATAGCGTGTGGGCAGTCAAACACAGTCGATGAGTACCGTTCATATTGCGTGTTTGACCTAAACCGTTGCGGTTGATGTTCACTTGCCATACGTGCTCTGGAAGTGATAGTATATGGATATAGATGAAGAAAATCAATCAATTAAATCCATAGTAATTAGTAATTACCGTAATGAACGCCGTGACCGATACGAAAATCGTTGGTCTGGTTTTGTAGGGCATGAAGCGCTTCCAGCCATTGTCTCTGTTGTTCAGCGTCTTCGACAATCGTCGTAAAACATTCGTCCCGTGTATACAAAGCAATCGCGTGCTTATGTTTACCATCTATTTTACGATTAATACTGAAACAGTCTTTCAGATAAATCAATCGTTTCGGTTGTTGGCCGTTGTTGTGGCGAAACTTTTTTTCGCTATCAAAATAGGAAAGCGAACCCATATTTGAATCGTTATGATCTCTTAGGACGAAATACTTCTTCTTCATTGTCTGATTTTGAAGGAAAGATACAGACTATGAGATAAACAAAGATATCAAACAAACAAACAAAAAAAATAAAATCATTTTATATGATATAATCGATGGGTTCTTCTTATTATTATTCTTATTCTTCTTCTTCCTGTTCCTAATTGTCGGAATCAATTGATGACAACAACAACAACAACAACAATACGTACCTTTAGTTTCTTCATATAACCGACTCGTTTGACATCATCTGGCATTTGAAATGTCGATTCATCGCCACCACCGCCGCCACCACCACTGCCACCGCCACCACTACCGCCGTGTGATTTGTAGAAACTCTTGGACGAGCTCTTGATGGTCGACATTGACGACGTTGTCGTCGTCGACGACGATGAGGAGGACATTATCGGTGGTTTTTATTGGTTGGGTTTACAGTAATAATAGTATTGTCTTATCGATGATAATAATAATAACTTAAACTTAAAATCAATGATCGGTTTCAACGGCAGCCGCGATGTTGTTGTGGCCATCGATATGACTGCAGCTGAAGACGACGACTACGACTACTGACAGATCAATACAAATACCAACAAAATCTGTTGTTTTACTACCACTTCTTCCTCTTCTTCTTCTTCAATCTTCTTATTCTTCCTCGAAATCAAAACAATTAACAATTTAAACAAAAAAAAACTGAAAAACTGATCACCGGTTTAGTGGCCAAACAGTTCAGCCGATAATTATATACACAAAACAAATTGTTTTCACTTTTAATTAATTAATTATATAATTATTTTTTGGTTAAACAAAAACACAATTTTTTTTTTAATTTTAATTAAATATTAATTATTTATTAATAATAAATAAAATAAAAACTTAAAACTTGTTTACCATTAATGAATTGACACCATATTTGTTGTGATTATTATTATTATTATTTAATACAATATTTTTTATGATTTTATATATTTTTTTAGTCAATGAGAAAAACAATAACAATACTAATAATAATAGACACACATATAAAACAAATTTGGACCTTTTTATTGTTACTGAAACCTATGTGTTTTACTAGTAATAAATAGTACCAAATTATAATATTGGTTTATTGGTATACTTATTATTATTATTAAATGTCTGTATATTTTTTTCAATGAGATTTTCAATTTTATTTTTATAGTACAGTGTTATTGATATTAAAATTATTATTATATTGAAAGTTGTTTACAACAAAATTATTTCCAAAATGGAATAATACATATATATATAAACTAGAGTTGGGAGAAATTTTTTTTTATAAATAATAATTTTAATATTAATATTATTTAACCGAACCGCTATATAAAATTTTTTTTTAAAAAAAAGTTTAAGTATTATATAATTTTTTTTTTGATAAAAAAACTATAATAAAACTAAATGTATTTTTTTTTTTAAAAATATTAATAATAATTTGTATATATGTTTTAATTTATTTAATTTAAAGTTATTTAATTTATAAATTCTATCTAGTTTATTTATTTTTTTTAGAAAAATATATATAATACTAGGTATACAAATAATAATTATTATTATAAATAAATAGATATTTTAGCTAGTTACTATTTTTTTTTGAAAAATTAATAATTTCTATATATGTTCGAATTTATAAATTATATCTAGTTTATTTATTTTTTTAAAAATATATATAATACTAGGTATACAAATAATAATTATTATAAATAAATAGATATTTTAGCTAGTTACTAGTTTTTTTGAAAAAATTAAAAATTATTATTTAAACATATACAATATAGTAGTACTAACTTAAATTATTATTATTATTTGTGCTTGATTATAATCTATCTAAATATGGGTTTATTTTAATTAAATATTAATTAACTAAACCGAACCCGTATTTATCTATATATATATATTTAATTCAATGGTATAACAACTCTACTACTATATTAAAATAATGTGCAAATAATTATTGTATTATTTTTTTTAATAACTTTTAATCTACAGTACAATACACTACAGTGTTATTGTTGTTGTAATACTTATTGAATTACTTGTTATATATTATTAATAGATATCCAATTACTGTACAAATTAATAATATAATACAATAAATACTAAATAAATACTAAATAAATACTAAATAAATACAATAATATAATTTCCATGAAAATTATTACTAATAATAAAAAAAAACAAACAAATATATACATACATACATGTATATATGACCATGGATATTTTAATTATTTATATTCTACGATAATTCCCCTCCCCCCCCCCATTACCCATACATTGCCCCCGTTCCTCATAAAAACAAAATTAATTTCCCGTTTTTTTTTTTAATTATAATATTTAATATATAATTTTTTTCCAATGAGAAAATATTATTACCTGTAATTTTATTTTATTATTATTAATAAACATATGGTAACCCTGTATATCAATTACAGTGTGTATAATACTGTATATTATTACATACATTATAATTGACTACTACTACCTATACTACCTGTACTACTATTAAGTTAAATACATGTATAGTGTACTACAGTATTATTATTATTATTATTATTAAATTATTATTAGTTTTTACAATTTAGGTGCAATTTTTTGTTTTGTTTTAATATCAATAGTTATATTTAAAATAAATTATTTATATATTCTCTCTCTCTCTCTCTCTCTCTCTCTCTCTCTCTCTCTCTCTCTCTCTCTCTCTCTCTACCTATTGATTGATTGAAACCAAATATTTTACTTAAAAAAAAAATAAATAATAAAAATTATTATTATTAAAAACATATGATATTTTATTGAAAGAAAAAAAAATAGTATTAATAATATTTAAATAATAATAATAAAAAAAAAGAAATTAATTAATTATTTAGATATATATAATAATAATGTTTACTTGTATTGAATTACAATCAATAAATATATATATAACTTATATATTTATTATTAAATCATATATATTTTTTTTATAAACCTATAAATTCAATATACTGTATATATATATATATGATTTTTTTGTTGTTGATTAATTAATTACCGTAATATAATTATATTTATATATATATATATATCAATTTTATTATTATTTATAGCAAATCAAAAAAAAACATCATAATTTTTTTATAATTTAATTAAATTAAATTTAAATTCAAAATTATCAGATATTTTCCAAACAAAAAAAAATAAATCAATGGTTTAGCCAATAATCACACTAATAATATAATATAATAATAATAAACACTAATTAATTAATTAATTAATAAGAAAAATAATGATTAAATAATTGAGTGGTTTTTTGTGTTGTGTTTTGTTTTGTGTTTTATTTCTGTCTTTATCTATATCTTCGGTATCCTATTCTTCTTCTTCTTCTTCTTCATCTATCTATTGTCACTAAACAAATCCAAAATTCTTGGTCTTAATGGCCATCAATAGCTTCTGACGTAATATGGATTTAGAGGAATATAAGGGAATATATAGTCTTGATATGCATCTGAAAGTAAACAAAATTAGATAAATTTTTCGGTAATTTTTCGACGCGATAGTCACATACGTATTAGCGGTGGCCAAATGCAAGTCATCGCGCGGTCTAATCGTAATACTGGGCATCGGCTGAAAGCCCTCTTCGCTCGCCGGCAACGATGGACTACCCGTCCAGAAGTATATCAAATCTTGTTTCTCTTGGTTTGTCATCTTTTCCACTACAGACCAAAACCAACGCTTAAAATAAGTCAAATGTTCGCTACCGTCGCCACTCTCTGTGTTTTTCGGTCACAATATAAATCGCAATTAGTTTTTATTTTAAATGAAAAATTAATTTCAATCAACTAATAATTAATAATACATACCGTCATTGAATGTCACATAACTGATCAATAATTGTATATTAATTTCGGAAACACCGTTCAATAGTAGACGAAAATCTTCGGCCTATAAATTAAATTATTAAATAAATTAATCGTTAAAATCCGGTAATTAAATTAAAAATTAACAAAAAAAAAACAAAAGTTTCGGTTAATTACAGTCAATCCGTCCAAAGCATTAGTGGGCAAAACATCACAGACTCCTTGTCTAAGTGCCTGTCAATTGATTAAAAAAAACAATTAGAAAAATACGGTAAAATATATTATTCTCGGGAATGTGACCGTACCTGAAGTGACCGTTCCTGGGACTGAATCATCCGATACTGAGCGTAACGGCGAACATAATCGTAGATAGTTTGCGGCGTAACTTCAATATTCCGGCCATTGGGTATCAGTTCGACATTACCGCCGCCGCCTTCCTCTGGACACAAATCCACAGCAAATCTGAGGTCAAGATCGGCGCACATCGAATCGTTACCCGATTCTACGTCAACAATCAGTTGACGTAACGATTCGTAAAGGACGGGATCAAAGAAGGCCAAGTCGTGCCAGAGAATGGTTCGCCGGAGTATATATTTGTAGACATGACGGCTAAGACTTAGCGGACACAATTCATTCTGAAGTAGACATAAGCCCATAATTCGGCCGACATTACGGAATGCATTGATACGTTCGGCCGATGCCCGGCCCTGACGTGGCGAATAGAAACCACGTTTTCCCGGCTGATAGAATAGCGGGGCATTATCTTCTTCGTCTTCGTCTTCCATTTCAATGTCCAATGTTCGGGCCGATTGACCTGTTGTTGCTGTTTTGCCGCCGCCTCCGACGGCTGTATTGGTGGCCGTATTGTTGGTGATGTTGATGGTGGCCGATGTGTTCACGTTGTTGTTGTTGTTTTGCAAGTTTTTCGACAGATTAAACATATCCAACTCGAATAGACCGTCGGCGGTAGTGTCGCGGCCGTGCGATAGAATAATATCGACTGCTTCGTCCACTTTGGCCCTGAGGGTGTCCTCCGATGCAAACAATGTCAACAGTTGGGCCGGTGTCAGCTCCAGAAGCATTCCGGTTATCTTACTGGCCAACGATGGCCTCAGTTGATGGACTCGCGGATACAAACGCATACCAAGTTGTTGTCGATGAGGACTAAGCAATTCGTTCAGATTGACAGTACTATTGCTGACCTGTTGTTGTTGTGATTGTTGGTGTAGTTGTTGTTGCGGTTGTTGTTGATGCAGTTGCTGCTGAGGTGACTGATCGCCGGGCATAATAAACGGCGGCGCTTCGTATCTCAAATGTGTAAACACTTCCCTATCGGATCGGCTATCAGTTCCGCGTCCCGAACTTCCTCCGCCACCACTACCCGAAGTCGAATTGTGGTCACGCGACGATCGGCTGGCCTGATAGGCTCGTCGGGCCTGTTCTCGTTCACGTTCGCGACTCTTCAGCCGCTGAATCAGATTGTATTGAAGCGATCGATTCGGTGCGTGACACGACTCCAAACTGGGCAACTTTTCGCCCGATAGTATGGCCTCGCAAAATGCCGAATAGAAACTACGGGCAACGCCGCTACCTTCGCCCGGTTCGTCTTTGAAGGTTACTTTCACTCGCGAAACGGTCAACAATGGCGTACCGACAGACATACGTCGACTGAAATTATTATACATTGTATTCAACTCTTTGAATGTCTGCTGAATCAATGCGTGCCGATCTCTGTCCAGTTTCGAGAAATTAATGTCCCGTTGTTGGGAATTCCTCAGTCGTTCCATTTCCCGACGAAATTTCGACTCTTTTACCGGAAAACCGCCCAAATCGCCGATTATCGAACCGGGTTCGGCACCGACATCGTCGACAAATACACGGCCAAACAGTTCCAGTGTTAGCCGCCATCGACCGAGTAGGCTGTCGTGTTGGGACATATTGCCAATCATTTGATGCGATTGTTGTTGTAGTTGTTGTTGTTGCAGATGATGGCCACCTCTTTTGTGAATAAACTGCTGCTGTTGTTGTTGTTGTTGACTGTCAATAATCTCTCTAATAGTCATCGACGACGATAGAGATAATGGTCCACCAATTTGTTGTTGATGTTGGTGTAAATGTGAGGCCAACAAGTGTTGTCCGCCGCCACTCGTATTTGACATTGAATTACCGATACTGTTCTGCGAATGGTGTTTCATCGAACCGGCCAACACAATCACACTGGGTTTGGCCGCTGAATTGGCAGTTACGGGCACTATTATCGGTGCCCGTTGATGATGATGTTGTTGTTGTTGTCCTGTTTCGGCAATAATCACAGACTGTGCTCTTTGGTTAGCACTACTACTACTATTACTACTACCATCAATGTACTGACTTTGTTGACTACCACTACCGCTACTTTGAGAACTGGTTGTCGCCATCATATCACTCGCTAAGTCCATACCGATAGCCGCCGACTGGCCATCGACTGGACAAACATTTCGGTTACTTAAGCTCAGTCTAGTGGGTATCGTATCGAACATTTCTTCGGCAACATTGGCAGTTGTTGGTCGCGGAATACCGAACAGTTGTTCACGACGGCTATTCGGCTGCAACAGATGCGGTGCATCGGCCAATGGTAGGGCTTCCTGTAGGGGCGTCGAAAACGGATCGGGTGGCGGACAACCTAAAAACAATGTCGATTCGGATCGTTGAAAAAATGGATGCCTACGACTCTTATGACTACTCGGCGGTCCATTTGGTGCCGAAGCCGACGCTGAAGAATCTTCGGCATCATTGATGGTACTAATATCTGGTAACGTATACGACTGAATCGTATTCAGTTCGTCGTCTTGTTCTTCAATCACATCAGATTCTTCATCGTTGGCCCAATTTTCTGCAGACATCGGATCCGAAGCTGTACCAACCAATCGGCTGCCATTATTGTTGCCGCCGCTGCTGCCACCGCCAACGCTTCCACCGCTAGCCGACTCTTCCGAACCGCTTTTAATAAAATAGATAAGCGAATCAAAAACATAGGCCACATGTTTGAGTGACGAAACATCGAGAACGGGCAGCGAATCCAGATGTTCGCTATTATGCGATCGCATGAGTGACATAGCATAGGATAGAAAGTCTTTGCGCGCGGAAGTCGAGTCCAGAGTATTGGTACCGTGATGTCCGGCCGATAAAAATCGATGACCAGCGGCCGAACCGCCACCGCTACGTCGCGATGTTATACCGGCGGCGCCGCTGCGCGAGTCGCCCGATTGTGTGACACGATTTTCGTCGTTTAGATTAATCCGACGCGAACTGCCGCCAGCGCCACCAGATCCCAGTGAAATGCCAGTATTGCGCGAACCGTGCGATTGGACAGCACTACTACTACTAGTCGACGGTTGTGTCTGCGTTGATGACGAAGCCGACGATACACCGCCGCTGCTGTTGGTCAGCGCACAGCCGAAACGTAGCTGTCCTTCGGTAGAGTCCATAACTGTCATCAGCCAATCCCAGGTCGGTTTGAGTCTCATTTCGATAAAATTGAGTAAATTATAGGCTTCGGTAGTGTTTATCGGCAACGAATTAATGCCCGAAATGGTCGACGACGACGACGACTGTCGCTCGTGATCTTTGAGTGTCGGCAACAGATCCGATATCTGTCGGATGACAATAGCAAAGGCTCGGGCCAGACCAACGGTAGTGGTGGCCATTGATACCGATTCATTGGTCGTCAATGTTGTAGTTATCGGTGTTACAGTTGTAGCCGATCGTCGAATAGTAGTCGGATCTATATGTATCAGTCCCGTCGATCCGGACAATCCGCCGCCGCTAGTGGTCACACGGGTAGCGCCAACAGCTCCCGTAGAGGCAGTTCCGCCAATTTCGCGCTGTCTGAGTGCCCACTGTAGATGCTGTGCCAAATTATTACGCCAATTGGATACACTGCCCGAAACGGCGCCCACTGTTGCCGCACCCGCCGAATTGGCCGCTCGGCGTTCCAATTGTTCGTCAATAAATGCCAGATCTTCGGTGTCCGGTTCGGTTTCGGCAGTTTCGCTCTCTTCTTCGTCTTCGCCATTCGACGAATCGCCCGAATCTTCTTCGGAAAAATAGGCCAAATTAGCGACACCCGAATCACTGCCGGCCGTAGCGCCCGTAACGGCACTTCGTTGGGCGCTTGCATTGTCAATATTGCTCTGATAGGAAGCGTCGTCTGGATTGGAATCGCTATCCGAATCACTTTCCTCGTGTTGGCCGCCATCGACTGGTTCTTCGTGTTCGCTGCCTTCGTGATCGACATCTTCCTGGCCGACAATGACATCGACTTCGTGTTCATCGTCAGCACCGCCGCCGCCGCCTATGACAACATCGGCACCAACCGAAGCGTCCACCAACGGTATGATACCACCACTGCCGCCGATACCGCTGCTCTGAGGGTTGTTCATACTATTTAGCGAATCGGTTGCCGACGATATGTCCATCAATAGCGAATCGACACCACCATTTCGGCCACCGGTTTGCGATACTAGCGGATCGACAGCAAACAGTTCTTCGCTGCCGGTTATGGCATCGGATAGTGTAGTCGATAGACAAAACGGTGCCGTTGGCCGTACAATACCGAGTCTGACCGGCGATATCAGCGAATCGGCAATTTCGCACAACTCTTCGATAGCTATGGGTAGTAGGGCTTGAAAAACGCGACGACATTTATGCAACTGCGACGATACGGCTGTCTTCTTCCACGACGGACTAGTCGACGACAGCGACAGTACATTGGAGTTGGCATACGATGACGGAGTCAATTCAATACATAGGACAATACCGATTCGGGCCACTGATCGGACAAAACGTCGGGCCACTAGTCGAGCTTCTTTCGCTACACTTGACTGTGGATTTTGAGATTCGCGTATAATTGTTACCAACAGGTTGTCCAACATTTCGGAACCAACTCTGACCAACAGTGAATGGGTAAACTTATCCAACAATGCCGTACCGTTTTGGCTGTTCAGAAATAGTTGTTCCTCAGCGGCAGCATAGCTGTTACCAAAACCGAAACATTGCTTTTTATTGGCCAAACTGGGCGGCTGCCGATAGCCGGTTAAGATCATCGATTTGATGGCATTCCAGTCGCCGAGAATCTTATCGAGTGCTTTACGTGCAAATCTTGGCGGTTCCAGATCATGGTCAGGCATTTCCGATTCCATATTACTGGCCGCTTCGGGTGTCTTACGAGTCAATGATGTACGCGATCGGGACGGCCGGTACTGGCGTTGTTCAATGATTTGTCTACCGACTGTTTGTACCAGAAATAGTAGTATATTTTCGCCGCGACCGTTCGGATAGGTGACTAAATCGGTTTCGGCAATCAATCGTTTCAATAGGGCATAGCGTGACGTCTGGCAGCCGCTGATCAATGCCTTGCACTTGCATTTCTCCCAACAGTCACAGTAGGCCGTCGGCGACGTACGTTTCAGTTTACAATCGTGTCCTTTATGGCAAACGCGGGCACATTCGGTACAACAACACAGTGAACCGATTAGGCCGCATGTCTTGCACTCGAATATATCCTGATTGATGTGTTCGGCACCGGTCCACGTAAAACTACAGGTGTCGTTACAGCACAACAGGTGCAGTGGTGAGTCATCGGGATTGGATCCGCGCGGATATAGCATAGACATCAAGACTTTTTGTTGGACATCCGAATCCGTCGACGATCGTTGGGCTATTTTGACGGCAATAGTCATAATATAGTTGGCCGCCGAATAGGCACGACCGCTGACGGCCATCATAAACGGTGTATAGCCCTGCGAGTCCTTCGAACATAACAGTTCCTTCATGAATGGTCGCAATACCTGCGAATCCAATAGTGTCCATAGTATCGAATGGGCGACTGGTTTTTGTTCGGTCGGATCCAACAGTGGTTCGTTAGTTGACGTTTGGTTACCGTCGGGCGGATAGTAGATCATAGCAATCGGTACATTCGATTCGGAATCGCAACTATCCGACGGCGGTTCAACACTACGTTCGCGTAGATCATTATCGCTGCTACGGTCGACGACTACGGCAGCGGTACCGCCGACGCCCGAATTCAGCCGATCGGACATCGATTTCGAGGCTCTGCGCATAACGTCCTGTAGGCTTGCGTTGCGCGCGTCAAACGTTTCGGCAGTCGGATCATCGACTGAGGCCACCGAATCGTAGGTCGATTTGTTCGAAGTGGGAAAACAGGCGCATACGGCCATATGAATGATATTGCGATTACCGTCGCATCGTTCGCTGACCACTACTTGTTGGGAAACCGATTCCTTTTCGAGCGAAGCCAACGTTAGCCGTACCAGATCGGGATCACTTTTGATGATGGCCGGCGTTAGCAACTGGTTTTCCAGTGCCAGTGCAATAACGGCTACTTGATTCTTCTGATTGGTGGCCGCATCCCGTACGGGATAGATACCGATACCGATAGCCTGAGCGGGTGCAATGTCCAACGCTACCGGATCCTTAACCGAATCACAACAATCTTTGGCCAACGGATAGATGGCTCCGTTACCGTCGCGAACAATAGTAATAATTTCGTTTTCGCCGTAACAGTTCAACGATATTAGCGATGTGTCCTGGCCTAGAAAAGCCGAAGTATCGGTCGGAAAACGACTTTCTTGTTCTACACGGCCGCTGGTTATATTGATGACAACATAGTTCAATCGGGTACCCGTACGGACAATAGCGTGTATGCCCAGATTGCTGACAGTCATGGCCAGTACCCCGAGACTATCGGATAGGTGTACTTTTTTCGGGAATCTCTGAAAACAGTCCAAAGCCTTCGCACAGGTCGAGCCTTTGACCAGTTGTAGTTCATCTTTGCGTAACAGTCGACACTCTTGCAATATCGATGTAACATCGCTGGACACTTCCGATCCGTGTTGATCGGCACGGCTACTATTGTTGTTCGAGGCGTTAAACTTGACCGCTGCATAGTTGCCATCAATTTTCAATACCCGACCAATCGGTATGTTTTTAACGTCTTCGACAAATATGACATCCTTGAGACTCCAGGTTTCCTCGACTTTTTCATTGCAACAGTCTTGGCCACTGCCGCCACCGCTGCCCGACATTACATTACTATTGTGACGCGGTTTCGATCGTTTCGGTAGAGGACTACACCCTGGTTCCGAACAAGTTGACGACGCCGGCGATGGTGGCGGCGGCATCTCCAGGCGTTCAGTTGACGACGCTTTCGATAGACTAGGACTCGGCGGTTGTTGGTCTTTGACAACCATTGACGTCGATGACGACGATTCAGCGGTATTTGCTCTCAACACCGATGCCAACGAATTTGATGGAAACGATAGCTGAGAACTACTGGTAGTACCAGTGTTTCGCTGCTGTTGTTGTTGTTGTTTGAATTCATTTGAATTTAATAGTTTGAATGCACACGAATCGGTTATATTCCACGCGGATGACAATAGTTGGCCAACTTTTGGTAGGCCACCGTAAGTGGTAAAACCGATAGCGCCGGCACTATACGATGGACTATTGCGTAGGCATACCTGTGCGCCGGTAATGATATCACTTGACGATCCACTTGACGACGACTGACTACCGACAGGTTGTCTCTGTTTTTTGGTCTTTGCCCGAACTTTTTCCCACATTTTCTTCCGATGCATATACGGAGCAATGCCCCACCAATAGACAGCACCGGTATCCAGGCGTACGCACGAAAACAGTGAACAAACGTGTAGGGATGCGATTTTAGTATCCGATGAATTGGTCACTTCGGGCAATGGTAGCAAATTGTGTTCGAGTTTGTTGGCAATTGGCATCAAACTTTCGTCGATAAAAGTGGCCACTTTGTTGTTATCGGTAGCCACTGAACATCTGATACAACTACCGGCCAAACAAACTATACGTTCGGTTAGTAAACCCAATGACAGCGCTTTCGGATGATAGTAGACAACACCGTCGTTTGTTTGCGACCTAAACGGTTCGCTATCCGACCATTTCCATTGACACAACTGACCAGTACTGGTAATGGCAGCCAATTCCGTAAACAGCGAAGCCATTGCTATAAACTTTTTGTCGCTGCTGGCCACTGGCCAATACTCCAACTGTTCGCTTACGTAAATCGGATTCAACTGTGAACTATCCGTACGCTTTCGGGTATTCAAATTGGCGTCAGCTGGCGATGACGTTACGGCACACTTTGACGCATCGGATGCCGAACCCGAATCTCTTAGCGCGTACTCCAACCAACGTCTCGACGATGCACTGGAAGTCGGATATTGTCGTTCCGAAGCAAATCTTAACATATCTCGTTCAACGGCACTCGAATCACGTTCTCTTTCGGCCGCCGATGCCGTACGCGATGACATGCGATTGGCCGCTGCCGACGATCGGACACGTATAGATGAATAGCTGAATACGTCGTCGGGAAAGACGGCATCGGCATCGATGATCACTGAGGCGTGATCGTTGTGAATGCCGGCGTCCAACAGCGACATCAGGTCATCGCTGGGCATATAGGACTCTTGGCTATCGTCCATATCGTCAGCGTCTTCATCGTCACGACTCAGCAGATTATTGACGGCCAGATTGACGTCCAAATTGGTTCGCTGTAGTTCCCGAATGATCAGATTGCGCGACTTTCCCTGCAAGACTACCTGGGCTTGCGATACCAGATCTTCGGGTACGAACGGTGCCGGTACTACTGGCCGACCGCCCATTATGACACTGGCACCGCCGGCAGCGGCACCACCGCGACCGCGACCACTGTTAGACGTACGCAATATTCGGCCGCGACGGGCAGCCGGACTTGATCGCTGATTGGAGGCCAGTGTCGATACATGACTGCCAGCGCTTCCCTTGAGATTAACTCTTTTGGTTTTTTTAATCAAACAAAAACAGTATTATTATTATTATTGTTATTATTGAAAATCAATTTAATTGATTAATTAATTAATATATATAGAAAAAAAACTGATAATTAAATATTACATTTTTGATGAATCGTTGGCCGACAGGTCTAACCGATCGGTAAATATTGAATACGCCACTCGACATATGCGGCCATCCTTTTAGGAGATATAATCATTAGTATTATTATTATTATTATTTGTTAATAACATTGTCGTTGTTATCATCAAAAAAAAAAAACAAACAATTGATATAACAATTTGATTAATTGCTAATTAATTTAATGATTTTAAACCAATTGCTGTTTTAAAAATTAATTATCAATAAAAACAATGATTAAGACAATAACCATAACAAACATGCGATTTGATGGACACTAAACTATAAAGTGTTAGGTCATCGACAACAACGACAACAACAACAGCGACAACAACAAAGACATATATACCTCAAGAAGTAAGACAATGTGCGAACTGCTGACACAACAGTGATTGACGGCAACTGTTTTAATAGACTGAAAAGCGGCCGCCATTGATGACGATGACGACGACGACGATGATGATGATGACGGTCCGCCCGACGACGACAACAACAAACCGCTAACACCACCACCGATGCCGCCACCGCCGTTGCGACCATTTTTGTCGCATATCTCGCGAAGTCTATACGGAACCGGATTTTGAATGAATCAATTAAAAAGTGATAATCAAATCAATACAACAAACCTATCGTTTAGTTGTTCATCAGTTGATGGCAACGGATTCAATACAAATTGCATTGAAGTCGACGACATATTTCTTGTTGTTGTCGTTGTTGACATCTATTAGGTGATGATAATGAGGTCGTCTAGAAGATACCCATTTGGTTTGTTTAGGTGGATCACCTTTAATTGATCCCACACAAATTGTTTATTATTAATTTTTTTTGGGATCAATTACAAGACACCAACAATTGAGAGCACATAAACAATAAACTGATACTAAAATTGATGATCACATCCGCGGTGTTGTGATTTAGGTGATGATAATGTCTTTGTGGTCATCAAATCAAATGTGTGTCCAATATATGTCTGCTTTTTATTATTATTATTATTTTAAGCTATCCTTTAGTATAATGACTGCAATGTATTAAATATATTATCAAAAAAAACAGGCAATGAATGTGTGTTTCAATACTTTTAGTATTGAAATAATAATAATGTGTTTCTCTCTCTCTCTCTCTATTCAATAGACACACACAGAAACTCTAGAGCCGGGAACCGATACGGTTCGGTCCGTCTAAAAAAAATAAAATAATCGGAACCGTAATGGTTTCGGTTAGGTTCCTAATAGAACGGTTCGGTTTTTTGTTATTGACGGTTTCTTTTGGGTTTTTATTGACGGTTTTTGGGTTTTTATTGACGGTTTTTGGGTTTTTATTGACGGTTTTTGGGTTTTTTATTGACGTTTTTTGGTTTTTTATTGACGGGTTTTGGTTTTTTATTGACTTTTTTTTGGTTTTTTATTGACTTTTTTTTGTTTTTTATTGACGGTTTTTGGGTTTTTTATTGACGGTTTTTTAACTTTAAATAATTAAATAAAATATATACTGTATATATACTTGTACTGTATATTTGAAAATAATTTTTTAATAATTAATTAATTATAATTAAAATATAGTAAATATATACATTTTTTTATAATTAAAATGTGTTTTTTTCTAAAAATGGACATGCAAAAGAATTTTTTTTTTAAATTTAATTAATATTATAGATAAATAACGGTTCGGTTCGAGAAATTGGCTCCGGTTCCTACCTCTAGCGGAACATACAATATGTTTGAATGAATTATATGAAAAATATTATGTACAGTAAATACTCAGTAAAATGTATATTTAAAATGACTCAATCAAATAGAGGGGGCACTACTAATACTACTGGGTTATAATGTACTGTAATATCTACATGGATTACATACATGTAGTACCTCCCCTGTAAAATAAATTCCCTCCCTTTTATTATTATTTTCCCTATGTTTTCCTAATCCCCTAATTTTAGTAATTCCTATTTTTTTTTATTTCTATTAAATCTATTTGAACTCTAAAAAAAACTATAACACATTTTTACTAAATATAATGTTTTGATAAAAAACAAGTATTAAAATTAAACTGTAATTTTATCTGTAATTTTTTTTATATAAATATTTCAATGAAATTTTGTTTTATTTTTTTAATTTATTTAAGTTTTTTTAGTACTATCTATTTTGTTATATATATATATATATATATTCCCCCATTCTAATGATTAAGGTAGGGTAATAAAAAAAAATATTTTATCTATATTTTCCCAGAAAATTTTTAAGGATTTTATTAGGAAACTTCCCTACCCCATGGTAGGGTTGATAACTCTAGCTGTAGTACAATCAAAACCCCCCATTGCATTTATTTTTTTTTTAAATTAATAGCAAATAGATTTTAAGCAACGTAATTATTATATGTTTGTAATTTTGTAAAATTTTTTTTATAAGTTTTTTAAAAAATTTTATTTATAATTTTAAATATTTATACAATATACTTATACAATATATATATATATATATATATATATACAGTATATATATTAATTATATATTAATTTTTATTTTTATAAAATTAACTAGCTAAGTTATATCTATTTTAATACTATACTAATGTGTGTGTGTGTGTGTGTGTGTGTGTGTGTGTGTGTGTGTGTGTGTGTGTGTGTGTGTGTGTGTGTGTGTTGTAATAGTTATATTATGAAATAAAATTAAATAATTAAAATTTTTATAATAGATATAAATTTTCAATAACTATATAAACTATATAAGTATTAGTTTTCAAAATTTATTTATTTATAGTAATTTAAATTATTGTTTATACAGTTATAAAAAATAATTTTTAATAGTTTTAATAATATTGTTTTACAATTAATATACATATATACTAATATATAGTAATATAATTAGTACTTATAATAATATAATAATAATAAATTTGATTTATAATCAAAAACAATATATGTTTATACAATAAATTAAATTATTAAAAAAAAAAATTTTTTTGTCTTAAATTTCATATATATTTTTTTCATATAAAAAAACAATAATAATATTATTTTAATTTTCAATATATTTTCTGTTTTAAACAAAACAAACACAAAAAAAACATTAATAATTATAATACAATAATAATGACTAAAAAACAATTGAAAATACATTTACCGATAGTTTTTAACTTAACGGTAAAACTAATAAACGGTAATTAAATACATTTAAATCGGTAATAAATTTCGGTAAAACTAATCGGTAATTATTTAGTTACGTTTGAGTTTATTAATTAATGTTCGGGTTTTGCGATCGTCGACCACATCCGC